TCCCCCCCCCAAAGCAGATGTCGCGGGTGAGGCGTGGCAGGGCGCGGGTGTTGCTGCTGGGAGCTCACGGCGGCCAACCGCCCCACACCACGCCCCTAGCGGGTCTGCTGGCGCGCTGGCGGGTCCGGAGGCGCATCGGCGGACCGCTGGCAGGGCCGTTGGCGGGCTCCCTTGCGCGCTGACGAGTAGGCTGGCGCAGTCGCTGGCGCTGGTGTTGACACACGTCGCTGGCGCAGGCGGCCGTCGTTGGCGCTAGCGCTGGCGCTAACGCTGGCGACGGTCGCTGGCGCTGGCACTGGCGCTCACGACCAGCGAGCGGGCGACGAGGCTGCACGTGCGCGGGAAGCTGCACGTGTGCGGCCGCGCGCGCGGCTGCTGATGCGCTCGTGACGGGACGGGGCGGGACAGCGCGAGGGGCGAGCAGTGAGTGGGGAGGGCATTGCGGGACGGGGCAGCCAGCACACGGTGTGCTAACGGGCTGCGCGACTGGTGGGCCCATGGTTCTTAGGTCCTAGGAAAGGACCTGCTCTAATGCCATGTTGAAGTAACAAAGGAGATTAGGTTTAGGAGCCTTAGCAAGGAGAATCATGGCGATGGTATCGAGAGGGAGAATTGGCCAAAGAGGTGCTTTGATATTAGGCAAGAGTACAAGATATAGGAGAAGGAAGAGAGAAGAAGAGGGTACACCACCAGCAGTTGATGGTAATAACTAAACTAATACACTAGCAAGCTATAGGCAGGTATAAGATATGCAATATCAATTAACATTAGGAGCCTTAGCAAGGAGAATCATGGCGATGGTATCGAGAGGGAGAATTGGCCAAAGAGAGCTTTGATATTAGGCAAGAGTACAAGTTATAGGAGAAGGAAGAGAGAAGAAGAGGGTACACCACCAGCAGTTGATGGTAATAACTAAACTAATACACTAGCAAGCTATAGGCAGGTATAAGATATGCAATATCAATTAACACGCGCTCACACTCCACTGTGCTCAGCGGCAGCACGGCGACAGCCACCCAGAGACGCACCAGATTGGGGTAGCCAGTCGCCCAGTCGCTTGTCTTCAGCATTGCTGTTAGGCCTGCGTGGAAGCTCCGCTCGTTCTTCGGGGCACTTGCGAGGATGGGGCAGAAGGCCCGCAGCTCCTTGATCGCACGCCGCTTGTCGACCCCTGCCACATAATGCGGAAGGGAGAGAGAGGGGGTTTTTGAAAGGCTGGCAAGTGCGTACACCATACGTTGATGAAATGCAATGACACAATAAGACGGACAGCAACAGTGCGAGAGCGGGAATACCTGGGATGATGTAGTCCGTGTCCTGTGCCCTGAACAGCCTCACGAGAGACTCGAGCCACTCGAGACACTGCCTGTGGCGCTCCGCTCTCCCCAGCTCCCACTCGTCAGGCATGAACAGCCGCACTCCCACCAGGGAGTCCAGGTCCTGGAACCGTGTGCTGAGGTTTTGCACGAGCGTCTCGGCGAAGGTGGTGCAGAGATCGACGCAGGCGTCGTGGGAGCCGAGGGTCGGGTAGTCTTCGCTCGGCTTCTCGTGCAGCTCGAAGGTGTGTGTCGTGGGCCGCCCGTCCGAGTCGACTCCCTGCACCTTCACCTCGGGATTGCCCCCCTCAGGCCCGTGCTTCTTGATGAACGGGGAGAGGCGCGCGCTCACCCCGCCTCCAAAGTCGTCACCACAGTCGACGTAGCGGGACTCTAGGAATGAAATCGACCGGCGGATCTGCCCGTGGACACTTGCAATGTCCAGCTGTTAGGGGTCAACAGGGCGAACAGAGGATGGAGAGAAGGCCAAATCAGTGCAAAGCAGATTCTGCTTAAGCAGTACATCAAACAGTGACTCACAAACCGAAACAAGGCACACAATCCAGCAACGATAGTAACCAAGCTCACCTCACGCTGCTGGAATGCCCTGTTCAGCACATTGAGCTGCTCGAGGACGTCTGCAAGGAAGTATAGCAGAAAGTGAAACCTGTAGCTCGTGGCGAGCTCGTAGAGGGTGCTGTCCCACTCATACAGCATCACGATCAGCGCGGGGAAGACCTCTACCGCGCGCAGAATGGCGTCACCGCGGGAGAGCCAGCGGGCGTCGTGGATCCTTTGTAGCTCCAGGTTTGTTTTCGTGAACACCTCCTGCAGGCCAATGAAGCATTGATGCCACGGGCCAGAACGCCCCAAATGCTCTGCCACTTGGCGGAGCAGGGAGTCCACCATGCCAAACTCGGGGATTTGTTCAGCGGCGTCCTTTGCTGCGAGGGCCTCCCTGCATGCACACCAGCATTAAAACCGGCTCAAGGAGGGGTTAGCAGGGGATGCAGCAGGGACTGTATGGAAGCAGTAAACAGAAGATGAAAACTGACCTGTGGGCGATGCAGTGGCTCGAAACAAGATGCGGGATGCGGAGGCGAAGTCGAGCGACAAGGCCGTTGTGTTTCCCCATCATAACGCTCGCTCCGTCAGTGCTTATGCCGGATATCCTTGCCAGTTCAATGCCTAGGGCCTGCAGGTGGGACAAGAGCACCGAGAGGAGAGAGGCTGCATCGCCCTTCTCCACGGTCAGCAGGGCAAGGAACTCGGTCACGGGACGATTTTCACGGATGAATGTCGCGAAAACAATCATATGCTTTCCCCGACACCTGTCCGTGCTTTCGTCGCACGTGACGCCAATGTATGGGCTGCTGAGGATGTGCTGCAGTTGCGTTGTGTGCAACCATGTGGCCATCGACTGTGTCAGCTGCCCGAAGCCGTAGCTGCAGCGCATGTCAAACAACACAACGTCAGATAATTCGGTTGATTTTCACAAACACGGTTGCAGTTAGATTAATTCAACACTCACGTAGTATAATAGGTTCCGTAGCCTTTTGCTGGGAACCCGGGCACCTTGAGTCGCGCGAGGTAGCGCACAAGATTCACCCATTACTCTATGGGTGCATCTTGCTTGGTCACGAAGAGCAGGGAGTCGAGGAGCTTGACGACCCGCTCCTTCTCCGTGTCGCGAGCGAGATTGTCGCCGTTGATCCGTGGCTGCGTAGCGGCGTCGTCGAGAAGCTTCTGGTGGTGTTTCAACGCCTCCTTGTGCTTGGTAGTTGCCGCATGCCGTTTGAACGCCTGCGTCTGAACGTCTGTGGCGCCCTTTCCGCCTCTCCCACACGGTCCAGCGTAGCCTGCGTGCTCCGTACAGATGCTGCACTTGAAAGCGGGGAAACCGTCAGCTTTTTTTAGCAGAGTAAGCCAAGAAAACCGCTCGAGCCACTCGCTTTTGTACTTATACAGAGCCTCCGCGTAGGTTGCGTCTGGCCCTGCCGGTTTAGAAGGCCCAGGTGTTGAGGGCGACGCCTGCGTGCCTGCGGTCGCGGGCGTCGACAGTTGGTCGGCTGGCGAAGCCGGTGTTGCACCAGCGGGACCTCCCTTCTTGGGCCACGGCAGCGTTGACTGCGTGTACCTGGCGGACTTCTTAGCCACTGGCACCGCCGCGATTTCTTCACCTGAAGGGTTGGAGCTGTCTTGCTCCAACACGGGCACAGTAGGGGAGGGACACAGAGGCTCGTCGATGGGTTCAAATGGAACATCGACGGTCGGCGCGACTGCAGGCGCCTTTCCATGGTTATCTACTGCCGCTAAGTTGGAGAATAGCAGATCCAGCCCGGTAACGGCCGCGGACAGATCAATAGGCAAACGACGAGCGGGTTCATCGCCGGGGTCATCAGGTCGTTCAATGGCGTCCGGGTGGTCCGCCATTGATTGCGCTGTGAACAAGCAGCATCTAACGGGACTCCCTAGCTAGCTGAACGATGGAGGTTTGCCAGGAAGAGAGGACACACGGCTGACTGCCTCTTGGTACACCAGGCAGCAACGCGATGAAACCTTACCCTTGCTAGATGGAAGGAAAGCATGGAGCAGACTGGGGTGGGAGACTGGATGGCTGGCAGCACGGCTGGGCGGCGTGGATGCATCCGTGCTTGCCCGCACGACTTAGACAAAACGGGCCAGAGGACCACAGGTGCTTCACATGGGCCTGAATCCCTCGTTGCGCTGCCTGCCAGCATCGCTGTGCTGCAACCCTGTAATTGGCCAAATCAGGAAATGCTGTCAAAGTGGCCAATCATCGCACCACGCGCGCCAACAACGCATCCCTCTACGAGGCAAATTTGTCTGCTACTCACCGCCACGCCCTGCTGACACCGCGGGAATCTGATATTCCCTGTACAGCCGGGCAACTACACACGAACCGTGTAGGAATCGCTTTCAGGGTCGGATTCGTTACAACGTAGTGGAATCAGTGTCACTAAAAAAAAATTGCTGAAAGTTCAGAGTCATGTGCTAGGTGAAGGCTGAAAAATCAGCCCCACAAAAAGCTGAACACTGGAAAATCAGTGTAGGTTAAAAAAAAACCCTGGAAATCAGGAATTTCAGGGAAAAATTCCTGATATCGTAGGGCCTGCCCATCACCCCCCCATTTCCTCCAGGAGTTTTGATTCAGGACGTATATTCAAAAGTTTATTCAGAGCGCATAGCACAGCGCGACCTTAGCAAAAGCTTCCTACCACCCTATGAGTTGACTAGAAAACCCATCACTTTCCCACCCCTTTTCTTTCACGGCACGTAGTGCAGCTTGCCTTCAGCAGTGTCCCCCTCCTCTGACTCCACCACCGCCACCCTAAACGTTGACTCAAAAGCTAACCCTGTCACTTCCCCCCACCCATCCCTGCAACCTAGGGCGAGTTCGTTCACTGTGCATAGCGCAGCGTGCCTTCACTGGTGTGTCCCCCTCCTATGACTCCACCAACACCACCACCACCGTGTCGACTCAGAAGCCAACTCCGGCACTTCCTCCCCCTCCCCCCACTTTTGCGAGTTCACAATTGTTCACTGTGCGTAGCGCAGCGTGCCTTCACCGGTGTCCCCCTCCTCTGACTCCACCAGCACCTCATGCATGAGTTGACTCAAAAGCTAACCCCTTCCCCCCCACTTTTGCAAGTTCACCGGTGTTCACTGTGCGTAGCGCAGCATGGCTTCAGCAGTGTCCCCCTCCTCTGACTCCACCAGCACTGTAAACGTTGAGTTCACGACCAGGTTCCCGATTGGATCAGTCCACTTGTCAAGTGGGTGTGGCAGGGCCACTGCACGCATGCTCATGGCAGCTTTCAAGGCAGAGTCCGAAGCAGGGTTAGGAGTGGAGGTGGTAGCAGCGTTAGGAGCAGCGTAAATAGCAGAGGGAGCAGCAGAGGGAGCAGAGTCAGCGGCATTGTCAGCGTTTGGAGCAGGTGTGGAGGTGGGACTGGCATTAGCCGGGAAGTCATTGAGCCACTCGCACAGCTGCACGCCGGGCCTGGGCTGGGTCCACGTGCAGTCGAGGGGGATGCTGGTGGTTTCAGAGGAAGTCATATTGAAAACGGAGAGCGTCGCTGCTGGCTTGAGGTCGCCTCGGTAGAGCAGCAGGATGCTCACATATAGCTTGCAATTGCCGTTTCTGGAGGGGAGGGAGGGAGGGGGGAGGGAGAAGGAGGGAGGAGAGAGGAGGAGACATTTGAGTGGACTCAGAAGTTTCTTGAGGTCGCCTCAGTAGAGCAGCAGGATGCTCACGCATAGCTTGCAATTGCCGTTTCTGGAGGGGGGGGGGGGGGAGGGGGGATGGGGGAGGAGGGAGGAGGGAGGAGAAGGGAGAAGGAAGGAGAAGGGAAAAGGGGAAAAGGAGGGAGGAGGGACACGGAGCGCAGTGGGGTCAAAATCGATTCGTCGGGTTGAAGATGAGGCATTTGAAAGATGAGAATTGATGCCTGTCTATTCTACTGTGGTAGTTTGGATAAGAAACCGGCATGTGACAACGGCGGTTGAGGCCCTCTCATCTCATGCATTCTGATTAGATTCAAAATGTACATGGTTTAGAGATATATCGGAGATATAGGGGGAGGAGAGAGGGTGAGAGAAAGCAGTGTGTTAAGACATATTGGAAGGTGACTTTTGAGTCGACTCAAAATTCAGCGATTATGGTGAACACTAGGGACTCACGTATTGGAGACGGCAAACATCGCGCCCCCTTTAAACGCATCGCCATTGATCATTGCCTGGAACCTTCCAGCTGGTACCCCAACCAGCAGCTCGGGCTTACCTGCAACATTGAATACAGAATGCTTAGTGACAGTCAACCACTCACTCATGTTGCTAAATCATTTTCATGAGCAAAAGATGTGAACTGGCCAACATCGAGACAAAGAACTTCTGTTCTACAGCTAATAAGGCACAAACTTCACTAAAAATGCTACCAGGGTGGGGCCAAGAAACGTAAGAGACGCAAGCAACGTACCAAACAGCTGCTCCCTCTTCAGAGTTGACTTGGCTCTTTTGAGGGCCGATTTTGAGCGGGTAACCAGTGGCTGCCTGTTCGAGTCCAGATACGTGAGTCTCAACGCGTGCGAGTCAACGCGAACCCCCACGCCAGCCGTGAATCCGATGCTGTTGATGTTGGCCTGGGTCAGCTTGGTCTGGCCGAAGCAGTCCCACACGCTCGGCGCGACTTGCGAGCACTGCATGTTGCTTCCGAGCGAAGCCAGCACGACGGGAGCCTTCACACCCAGGCTGACATTCACTGGCGGGGTGAGTGAGCCTGCGGTGGTCAGGCGGAACTGCGACGGCTTGCTCTGAGCCCTGGCAAGGTGGGCAGGCGGGCATGGGGGGGGAGGAGAAGGAAGCCAGGGGTTTCAAGAGCAGCGCAGGGCACATGGTGTGTTTGGTTCGGAAATTCGGGAGACCGGTGGTGGGGGGCTTTATAGCACATGGTGGTCAGGCGGAACTGCAACGCATGTGGGCCCTGGCATGGGTATGGGCTGTGGCGTGGGTGGGGGGCGGGGAAGAGGAAAAGGAGAGGGGAGGAGGATGAGGATGGGAGGTGGGGTGGGATGGTATGGGGAAATGGAGAGTTTTGAGCAGGCATGGACCAGGATTTTGAGAGTTTTGAGAGTTCAAGACACGTGCTCAGGGTGATATGGATGAGGGTGACCTGGTTCGGGTGACCTGGTTCGAGCGACCTGGTTCGGGTGACCTGGTTCGGACGACCTGGTTCGGACGACCTGGTTCGGACGACCTGGTTCGGACGACCTGGTTCGGACGACCTGGTTCGGACGACCTGGTTCGGACGACCTGGTTCGGACGACCTGGTGGTGGGCGAATGATGGTGTGGAAAAGCCCAAGTCCAGTGGCGGGGTGGGTGAGAGAGGGTGAGCAGGCGGGAGGGAGCGTGTAAAGAGGGGAAGCTAACCAAGCTAGAATGTTGGACCTCTCAAAATCGCCATGTGGTGCGGCGGCAGCAAACGCCTTGTCCTGCCCCGTCGCCATGCCTGCCCTAAGCCACACGCACACATGCCATGCCCCCAACCACACGCAAGCCGTCACCTTACAAAAGCGCCTACTGCAGATCAGGGTGCGGAAACCCCGCATGTGAAGTGCGACTATGGAATGGATTTCTTACTCAGAGGGGACTGCGATGCTGAACGTGCCTCTCACGTTCTCATCTGAAAGTTCCGCGCTGTAATAAACTGCATTGGCGGGGGGCGACGGGACAGAGAGGAACGGAGGAAAGAATGAGGGAGGAGGGACGCGGGAGGGACAGCCACGCCGGGGTATCGAACGGCACGGGTCGGGTGCATGCGAAACGCTACACAGGTGGCAGATCAGGCAATTTCTGCGCAGCGATTTCACGCAAAGCGAGCAGGGAGTAGAGCAACGGAGCGGGGAGAGCGCCGGCAATCAAGGTGACTTTGAGTCACCTCGTTCCAATGTAACACGGGCGTTAGAAAAGGGATGCAGGGATGCAGAGTGACTGGCGGCAGGCGCGGGCGGCGGGAAGAGCAGCAACTGGACTGCCTTGACGAACGCGAGGCAGTTGGGGGGAGGGGATGGATGTTAGGGTTGGTTCGCCCAACCACGGAACCTAAGGCGAAAGCACCTACGACGGCGGAATGACGGCGAAATGGAAGCGCGTGTGTGAAATGGTGGAAATCGGCCTACGGTGGGGAATAGAGGCTACGGCGTGAGAAGCGGGAGAGAAATCGAGAAGAAATGTGCTAGAAGGAGGGAGAGAGAAGGAGAAGCATCGAGAATGAGATTGACGAGGGGAAAAATGTGCTTCGAGACCAAGGCGCGTTCGAGAAAGTTCGGGATTCGGTCTTGAGGAGTGTTCACCGAATTCGGTTCGGTTGCGTGTGCGACTAGGGGTGAAACGAGGCGCACGCGGTTACTTGGGAAACAAGTGAAGTTACGAATCGCATTTTGTGTCTTGCTTGACTATAAACCTGTTTGTACTCATTCTGGAAATACAACATTGATACCAATCAGATTCTGAAAATTGCTGAAGTGTGTATTGACAACTTCAAGCAGAGCTGCACATATTATTGGATTCGGGAGATCGTGGAGAACACGATAGGCGATAGCAAGTAGACTATTGCCGACTAAGGTGCTTACGATCCTGAGAACTGGTATCAGAGCTGGTTTAAGTGGCGTTTAAGCATTCTTAAGTGCAGAGCGAAGCTTTCGAGATGGTCGGCGGACAATCGGAAGCTAGTTCGGGCTCCTCTGTGAGTATTGGAGATCCCCAAGTGAAGGCACTTCTGGAAATGCTAGCGCAAGGAGGGGTGGTGACAAAGCCCACCAGGGGGCTCAGTGAAGCCCAACGATTCCACGGCCAACACTACAGCACGTGGAGATTGAAGTTCATAAGGAGGGCGAAGGAAGTCGGTTTTTGGGAGTACTACCGACCGGATGGAGAAGGTGACGCAGCCGCGCGTAAGGCGAGATCGGATGAAGAAAAGGTGGAACACAAGAAGAGGAGTAAGCATGCGTTTTTTCAGTTATGTCATTCCGTTGCTGACGGGATTGCAGTGGGTTTGGACGAATTTGCAGAGCGCGAGAACTCTGCACAGGCGGCATGGGCTTACATGGAGTCTACATACCTCGGGCATATGGACGCAAACATCGCCGACGCAAGGAAGAAGCTGATGTTAATGACCATGGAGCCGAACCAGAAGATTATTGACTATGTCAACATGGCGAGGAGCTACAACGACGACTTAACTGCGATGGGCGAGCCGGAAACCGAGCGGGCGATGATCGGGCACATCGTCAACGGTCTACCGGAAGATTGGGCGGGTGAGCGGCCGGCGTTGATCTGCCACCCACCGGAGAATATGACGAAGCTTATTGCCATGCTTCAGGCGTTGGAGCGAGCAAGAGAGCATCAGAAGCGACGGGAGAAGTTTACAAGGGGCTTTGTGGAGGAGAAGCCTGCGTTGGTGAATGCGGCAGCTGCTGGAAGGAGCTCGGGAGCGTGCTACCAGTGTGGACAACTCGGGCATCGTGCGTTTGAGTGTGTGGAGAACCCGAGGAGTAGAAACTACAAAGGGAACGGTGCGGGATGGAGTGGTGGACAGCAACACGGAAGGTTCAATGGTGTGTGCCATCACTGCAAGAAAATTGGGCATCGTGCAATTGATTGCTACTTGAATCCCAACGGCCGTAACTACAAAGGACCGTTGAAGCAGGAGCAGCAGCAGAACGTGGAGGCCAAGGCTAACGTGGCGGAAGCGGAGAAGGAAGAAGAGGATCCGATTTTGGGGGGAGCACATCTTGCGAACGTGGTGCGTTTACCAATGGAGGTTCGGCAGATGGACGGACGTGAGAAGACGACATGGTTCATGGACAGCGGATGCACGCGTCACATGACATTCAGGTCAGATTGGATGGAGAATGTGAGGGAGTCGAGTGAGGATTATATACTACAAGGTAACAGTGGAAAGTTACCAGTGACAGGAGAGGGAGACGTGGTGCTGCGGAGTCCGTATGGAGTAGTGAAACTGGAGAGTGTGTTGCTGGTTGCGGATTTGAAGGTGAACTTGGTCAGTCAGTCACAGCTTGATGACTTGGGGTGCAAGATATTCTATGACAGTGGTGAGGTGACTGTGTTTGGTCCTGAGTGGGAGAAGTATGCTGATGGTTACTTCAGTGACGGGTTCTATGAGATGAACTTGGTCGCGACGAATGATATGGATGAGATCTATGAGGATCCTGAGTATGGTGAGATGGGAGAACTGGAGGAGTTATTGACTAAGGTTGATAAGAGCGAGGACACGGATGATACGGGAGCGAGTGTGGAGGCAGCAGTGAAGCAGGAAGAGGAGATAGTGATCACGGATGCAGCAGCAGTAAACGGTGGAGATGGAGACGATGTCAACACTTTTGCAGCAGCGATCGTGGTTGAAGATGAAGCAGTAAATGCGAAGTATGTGGGAGTTGAAGCTGTGAAAGGGGACATCATGGTGAAAGGATCAAAGGCGAATGCAACTGCAAAGGGGCAAGTGCTTAAGGAGGATGAACGCGTTGAAGGGTACGAGACCCGAGAGGTGTTGGGTGTAAAGATGCCGAGGAGAAGCGAGAGGCATAAGAAAATCTCTCACGGTTTGGATGTCAAGGCGCTCAACTACAAGACACATAAGCAGAGGTTCAAGGTGCAGGAGCTGCAGGGGAGCGTGAAGCCGACTTAGACCCTGTGAAGGCTACAAGGAGCAGGGGAGCAGTGCGAGTGGTGTTCGTGGTTGACGAACCACAGGGGAGATTGTTAGGGTTGGTTCGCCCAACCACGGAACCTAAGGCGAAAGCACCTACGACGGCGGAATGACGGCGAAATGGAAGCGCGTGTGTGAAATGGTGGAAATCGGCCTACGGTGGGGAATAGAGGCTACGGCGTGAGAAGCGGGAGAGAAATCGAGAAGAAATGTGCTAGAAGGAGGGAGAGAGAAGGAGAAGCATCGAGAATGAGATTGACGAGGGGAAAAATGTGCTTCGAGACCAAGGCGCGTTCGAGAAAGTTCGGGATTCGGTCTTGAGGAGTGTTCACCGAATTCGGTTCGGTTGCGTGTGCGACTAGGGGTGAAACGAGGCGCACGCGGTTACTTGGGAAACAAGTGAAGTTACGAATCGCATTTTGTGTCTTGCTTGACTATAAACCTGTTTGTACTCATTCTGGGAATACAACATTGATACCAATCAGATTCTGAAAATTGCTGAAGTGTGTATTGACAACTTCAAACAGAGCTGCGCATATTATTGGATTCGGGAGATCGTGGAGAACACGATAGGCGATAGCAAGTAGACTATTGCCGACTAAGGTGCTTACGATCCTGAGAATGGAGGGGGGGGGGGGGGGGGGGGGGGGGAGGGGGGGAGGGAGCAGGAGCGCGGCAGGCATGGGAAGGGGGGGAAGGGGGGTGCGCTTACTGGCGGCAGGCGTGGGCGGCGGGAAGAGCAGCAACTGGACTGCCTTGACGAACGCGAGGGCGGATTTCACGGCGCGCTGCTTCGCCACCTCGACGCTAAACGCCGCCTCTGCTCCGGGAAGTGTCGAGGAGAGTAACACACCTGCAGGCGAAGACACGAGAGAGATTGAGGGCATGATTAGATCGACTTTGCTACCAGGGTGGTGTGTCACACAGTCGAAGTAAATAATGACAGACTGATTGAATGATAGGCATGTTCATAGAAAGGAGGCATGGGTCATGAGAGACCGCACCGGCAATGACGAGGAGGCACGTCAGAACCCTACTAGGGAGAGCCATTGCTGGGGTTTCCGATGGGGTATCTTAGAGAACACTACTAGGGGTATCTTAGGGGTATCTTAGGGGTTTCCGACGGTATCTTAAAGAACACTACTAGCAGTACTAGAGAGCTATCAGTGATTTGAAAGGAAAGTCGCAGTTAGCGGAATCGAAGAACAAGAGCTGCTGGTTTCTTAGGGGTGGATTGGAGAAGAAAAATGCTGGAGTTGGGAAAAGGATGTGGTGCTTTCCCTTCGGAAGGGAACGAGCCGCGCTGACCTGCCCATGTGAAAGTAAGCGCGGATGCCGGGCCATCGTCGCAAGGCTCGCCTGCTGACTTTTCTCGTCAGCCATTCGCCCAAGGACCAGTAATAATGACTATATAATGACTATGTTTGCGTTCCGCTCCAATCGAAAGCGATCTAACCAGCGACGAAATGAAGCAGGACGCGTTCCATTTTAGTCGATGGATAAATAGCCCTCGTGCTGAAGCAAAGTAGCCCTCCCCAATAAAGCTTGACGAACTCACCACCAATAAAGCACCAATATAGCTTTATTGGTGGTGAGTTCGTTTTGCCTCGAAACCGTACTGTAACGTATAAAGGTGTAAGCAAACCATTCTGGCATGCACAGCTTCGCGCTCCATTGGTAGGGTGAACTCATGACAGAAAGCTGGACAGCAATAATTCCGTTTCTCATCTGACAGGGCCGTCACGTCAGGCTCCGTCAACTCGGGCAGGCTCACAAAGCTACTGGGGCTGACCGGAAGAAGGGTGGTTGGGATTTGCTCGAAATGGCTGGTGAGTTTTTTACTGCATTTATTGCTGCCCAACAGCGGCGGGCAAATCTGATGATGGTGGAGGGGCATGTGCAACATCGCCCATCCCTGTCTTGACAACATGGAAACCAGAGTGGTGGTGAAACCAAAATTCTATTCGACAATACCTGACACAGATTTTCAAGCCACGCGCTTCGGATACCCATAATGCAATGCTCGGAAATAAAACCTCTTGGTCCAATTCCACCGCTCCCACCCAGCTTTCCGCCCAGCTGTATTCATCGTCAAACCTCTGCACCGAACATAAACCCTCCGTAAGCCCTTCGCACATTCCTCAACCAGAGTAATCCGCTCTCATGTCAGCCCACCCCCCAAGTGAACAACCTCATCAGCCACTACAAATCCAACCTTTTTCTTCACAACGCCTCATCCTCTCCACCAGTCACTTCACGAGCCCTTATAGCTCCTCGTTCCTTGCCAGTATTCTCAAACCAGACCGAGTATTCTCTACTGCTCCTACCACATTCACCGTCCGTTGGCGGTATTTGAGCTGAAAAGGCATCGCCATGCCTCGCCTCAAACTTCCCCACTGGCTCGTATCCTGCCTCGTGTGCCTTCCAGGTACAAATTCCTTTTGAGATGCGGCGGCATCCTGAACATGCATCCGAATTGTGGAATCGCCTTGTGGAAGGCGCTTCATTTCCAGCAGTTTTAACTCTCCGTATTCTGTAATCACGTAATTCACGTAATTCACTCCGTGCCATTTTTCGGCGACTTATTCGCCGTGGATTGTGCAGGCATTATTCTCTTGTGCGCGGGGCCTGTCACCATGTCGTCAGGATTCGCGTTCACGGACAAGGATCTCGCCGTTTTCTTTCCCCGAATTCCAAGGGACTCACGTAAGACCGTACGCGATCACCGTACTTGTAAGGACGTGACGATCATGGCTAGTTGTGTACGATGTAGATCTTGTGGGTTACGCGTTGATCATTGTTACATCATCATGATGGTACCGCGTAAGGGGCTATAGCCTCTTAGTTTCCTCTGTTCGTTATCTTTGTTGTCATTCTCATTCCGAAATTAAGGAACGGGGAGTGGGAATTTGTATCCGCTGTAGACCTGACTGTTGCTGTACGTATACGGTGACCGTGAACGGACTATTCGCAAGTACCTGCCTCCACCGCACAAAAAACACCGCTCCCACTCCGCTTCCGACCCCTCACATACATCTGCCCTCACGCGAGTCGCCCTGAGTGCTCCCCCCCCTCCCGTCCTGCTGATCCATTGCAGATCCCGCCACTGCTCAGCTGACGTCGAGCCAATCGCAGGGAATCATATGCATGCAAATATCAGTACGACGGTAAGGCATTTCCTTTAACGTGGCGCCACGTGGCAATCTCCTCTGGTCATTCTCCGTGCACGAGCTTGTTTCACTCCCCCATTCCACACCCGGCTGATAAAGAGGCAACGCCGAATTTATCCGTGTTCCTCCCCCTCCTCCTCCGTTCCCCACGCTCCGATTACCGCAGCCCTGAATTCCCGACCGTTTTCCGGGTGATTATAGCGGGAAGCGTGGATCCTCCAACGCGGGTGTCGCTGTGGGACAACGGAACTCTCGCCACGGGCGGTGATCAGTGGAAGCTGGTGGCGCCGGGAGTGTGGGACTTGGAACACGCTTCCTACTGGCCTGCTGGCAATCCCTCCTCCTGGCCCGGCCCCGACACGGTTACACACGCCGGGGTGAATGGCGGGACGCTGGAGGCGTCTGGAGCGCTGGTTTTACAGATGGAAACAGGTGCTTATGACACAGGTACGCATGCCAGCTGCTATTCTGCTGCCATGTGCTTGCTGCCATGTGCTTGGTACGGTCGCAGTCAGGGTCGCGCTTCTGGAGCTTGGGGCTCTGCCGCTGGAGGTACTTCTGCTGACGTCACTGGAGCTGGGAGTGGTGCTGGTCCCGGAGGTGCTCGTACTGGAGGTACTGGAGCTGTTGGGGCTGGAGGTACTAAGCCTGAGGGTGCTACTGCTGGAGACCCTGGGTCTAGGGGTGCTACTGCTAGAGACACTGAGGCTGGAGACCCTGGGACTGGAGGTGCCGGTTCTGGGGGTGCTGCTGCTGGTGGAGCTGGTCCTGTAGGAGCTGGCGCTGAGGGTTCTGGAGCTGCTGGAGGTGCTGGAGTTGCTGGTGCTGGTGGCACTGCACAGCAGCGCCTGTTCTTTGCTCCACCGTCTCCATCGTCTCAGCCACCGTCTGACTCTGTGCTACGCCAGGTTCTTAGTTTCCCTTCGTCTACTGGTCTTCCGTTACAGCCTGGCTCACCGCTGCCTGCTCCTTCTCCTTACACTGAGCAGACAGGGGGTCTTACTGAGCGTCGTGAGCCTGCGTCGCGTCCTGTCTCGCCTGTCCGTCCTGGTCGTCCTGGTCGTCCTGGTCGTCGTGTTCCTCGTTCGCGTCAGCCGGCTGTCACCGACACCCACCTCGTAGTTTGTCGTCCTTCCTCTCCTCCGCATCATGTTCCCCTGCCGTCCCCTCCTGCGTCTTCTCTGCCTACCGTTCCTGAGCCTGAGTCTGACCGCACCCATGCTGCTCACCCTACTGTCACGCGTCTGCTAGCCACAGTTGTCACTGACCCGTCGTTTGAGTCTTCTGCTGCGTCTGCCTTAGTCACTGAGCTTGTTGACTTTGCTGCTGCCTGTCGTCTAGACTACCGCTAGTCTTGTTGCTGAGTCTGAGTCTATCTGTCCTCCGTCTGACGGGGGTGAGTATGCTCTTGGCACGGACGTCCTTGAGGACAGGCAGGAGGACCTTGAGTGTCTTGCAGCCGCTGCGCCTCATCTCGTGTCCATGCTGCTTGCCCCTGAGGGAGACCCGGATGCACTAGACATCCCGACCCCGCGCTCTTACGCTGAGGCGATCGCGGGTGAGTACTCCTCTCAGTGGCAGACAGCCATGGACGCAGAGATGGCATCCTGGAAGTCCACAGGCACTTACGTTGACGAGGTTCCCCCTCCTGGGGCGAACATCATCAGTGGCATGTGGATTTTTAGGGTGAAGCGGCCGCCAGGTTCTCCGCTTGTCTTCAAGGCTCGTTACGTTGCTCGAGGTTTCAGTCCGCGAGAGGGAGTAGACTTCTTTCAGACCTTCTCCCCCACCCCGAAGATGACCACTCTTCGGGTGCTGCTGCACGTTGCCGCTCAGCGTGACTACGAGCTTCACTCTCTTGACTTCAGCACAGCTTTCTTACAGGGCAGCCTGCACGAGGAGATCTGGCTGCGCCGACCTCCTAGCATCACTGGGTCGTTCCCTCCTGGTACCGAGTGGAGCCTCCGGCGGCCAGTCTACGGTCTCCGCCAGGCGCCGCGTGAGTGGCACGACACACTGAGGACTACACTTGCGGCTCTTGGGTTTGCTCCGTCGACTGCTGACCCGTCGCTGCTTTTGCGCATCGACACGTCGCTGCCGTCGTTCTACATCATCGTGTACGTCAACGACTTGGTCTTTGCCACTGCTGACACAGAGGCTCTCGCCCTGGTGAAGTCGGAGCTGCAGAAGAGACACACGTGCACAGACCTGGGTGAACTGCGCAGCTACCTTGGCTTGCAGATCACCCGGGACAGAGCACGCTGCACCATCACACTTACTAAATCACACATAGTGCAGCAGGTCCTTCAGCGCTTTCGGCTTCACCTGGTCCTCGCCACAGCACACTCCTCTGGCTACAGGCCACTCGCTCTCAGCTCCACCTTCGGACGAGTCCGTAGAGCCGAATGGCCCGTATCCAGAGCTAGTGGGCTGCCTCATGTACCTGATGACCTGCACTCGACCTGACCTTGCGTACCCTCTTGGCCTTCTGGCTCGCTACGTGGCTCCTGGTCGGCACCGAAAGGTGCACATGGATGCTGCAAAGAGGGTATAGCGCTACTTGTGCGGTACATCGGGCATGGGGCTCGTGCTTGGAGGGCGGAGCGCAGTTGTCCTCACTGGGCACTCAGACGCTTCTTGGGTTGACGACCAGGCTACGCAGCGGTTGTCACAGGGTT